TACTATTTATACAATACAGTCCAATTGAAGCATGACATTTGAGCTACTTGCAAGCTGCAGTGGTAGTAAGACCATTTCCCAAAGTCCTTTCACTAAATTATATTCAGCTAATTGCTAAAAGGCTACTATATATTAACTCATAAGGTTCACAGATGCAAAGACTAGAAAGACATGCAGCCTTCCTTGAGAGCTAATGCAGCATTCTCTAAGAAATACTTTGTATAAACACTAAACTATACCATGCTGCCTCCTAGCTTCAGTTTTCCTTTAAGTAGTGGTTGCCTTTCTCACTACCTAATAGGCTTATTCTTCAGAAGGACTTTACAACTTCCCTGGATCTTGAGGCCAAACACTCATCAATCCTTCTTGTGTGTAACGATTGCAACTGTAAGCACCTATACTTATACTTTAAGTGTTATGGTACTTAACACCATATTGTTATAGGTACCTACTTGGCTGCCTTTCCTATGAAAATACTTAAAAGACAGACACTACAATGTAATTATGTTTATGCCTCCTTATCTAGGAAATGAAAGCATCCAGTGAATATAAGATGAATGGCAAAATGCATAAAGGTTACTTAACAAGCATCAAGACACACCCATGTAAATATAATCTTGCCTATTATTAATCAACTCTATACCACACAAATCCAGACATGATTTTCCAAATTTGAGAGAGTGAAATAATTAGTCTATTCCCAACCTTAAAGTAGCCAAGGTTCACCTATGGATGATAAAAAATGTGCATATGGCCTAATCAATTTTTGGAATAATTTTGTTTCAAAGACTCACCAAAGTGAGGGGCAAAACCAAGTTAGAAACAGTAACAGCGTCCTAACAAACTGAGAAAACATCTCGATGTTATCACATGCAGGACAACTAAATTGTTGCATCATTATTAATATTATTGAAGCTACCAAACTTTTTGTTGACCCTTATACAGGCTGAGAGATACTATGTTCTTGGGAATCACAAATTAAAAAGCACTGAACTGAACAATGAACACAAACTATCTCTATTTTCTCCTGTTCTACCTACAATCTCAAGTCATATACTCTTCATTTCTAAAAATGGATTTCACAGTAATTTTAGTTTGCCAGAGGCTTATTAGATATATATTTCACTTCACATTATTTTGACATAAGATTGCTCACTGATTTGAACTCACCAACTTAGCAAGATTAGGTAACTAATGAATTCTAGGTATCCTCCCATCCCCATCTTCCCAGATCTGGGACTGCAGACACACACAAAAACTCCCCTCAGCCCAATGGCAGAATGTTAGAGGATATCCAATTACACTGTGATATCCGAATTTGCATTTGTGTTAATAAAATTAACCTTGTATCAGGAGGCTGTATTAACAACCAGTTGACAGAAAGTAATTATGGAATACCAGAGGGCAAATGGAGAGACAGAGACACAGGAAGTAGCAGGGTGGGGCTTGAAGTGATACAGCATTATTGTGGTTTGGTGAAGTAGAAGTCATGAACACCAGAAAAGATAGAGGTTAGTTAGCTACTACTCAGCATTTCTGAGCTCACAGATTTTCATCCCAGACAATGAATCTCTAGTCTTATTTAAAATTAGAACACGGATTTAGTTAGAAGCAGCCACAGGGCCAGTGCCAGTGGAAGCAGATTTCAGACCAGGCTGCAGCCTGAATAGCTAGGCTTCTGCTAGAGAAGCAGGCTGGTAACTTGAGAGTTGTAATTGCTTGCTGAGATAGCTGTAGAATAGGGCACAGCCACTGTGCCAAAGTAAGAACAACAGCAGCACTTGTACTTTTATCTCCAGCATATAATTTCTCTCTCTGATCTCATATACAGCATCATACTTTAGACTATTGAATCCTATCCTGGGTGAACTTGCAGAAGGTCTTTGCTAATTCTTACACAGGATGCAGCTTAGTCACTTTACCTCACCCTGCCCTTGGCTGAAAAACTTGCCTCTTCCCTCATGTCTCAGTTCAAGATTCAATCAAAGGAAGGTACTAAAGAAACACTGATGTTCTTCACCAACCCTATATCTGACAGAGGGCTGATCTACAAAATATATAAAGAACTCAAGAAACTAGTCATCAAAACACCAAATAACCCTATTAAAAAATGGGGTATAGAACTGAAGAGAGAATTCTCAACAGAAGAAATCAAAAAGGCTGAAAGACACTTAAGAAAGTGCTCAACATCCTTAGCTATCAGGGAAATGCAAATCAAAACAACTCTGAGATACCATCTTACTCCTGCCAGAATGGCTAAAATTAGAAACACCACTGACAACTTATGCTGGAGAGGATGTGGAGAAAGGGGGAGAGCAAACTTGTACAGTCATTTTGGAGATCAGTATGGAAGTTCCTCAGGAAAATGGGAACCAGTCTACCACAGGACCTGGCAATCCCACTCTTATGCATATACCCAAATGATCCACATCTATACAATAAAAGGTATCTGTTCACCTATGTTCATAGCAACATTATTTGTAACAGATATGGATAAAGATATGGATAAAGAATGGATAAAGAAGATGTGGCACATTTACACAATGGAATACTACTCTGCAGGAAAAAAAACAATGGAATCTTGAAATTCTCAGGCAAATGGATGGAACTTGAAGAAATCATTCTGAAAAAGAGGAACATGGTATGTCCTCACTCATATATGGATTTTAGACATAGAGCAAAGGATCACCAGCCTATAATTCACACCACCAGAGAAACTAGGATACAAGGAAGAACCTAAGAGATTCATACAAGGTCCCTCACAGAAGGGGAAAGGAACAAGGTCTCCTGAACATATTGAGAGTGAGGGGCAGTGAGTGGAGAGGGAGCTAGGAGAAAGAGAATGGGAGGAGAGGAAAGCATGTGGGAGTAGAATGATTAAGTCAGGGGAGGAGTAAACGAAAGAGAGAGAAGAAAAGGGAGAGATTTACCATAAAAGAGCAAGCCATTATAGATTTGAAAACTGACTCTAGAGAAATGTCCAGAGACCTACAAGACTGACCCCAACTAACAATTTAAACAGTGGAAAGGCTACCATAAATGCCCTTTCCTGATAATGAGATTGATGACTAACTTATCCACCATCATAAAGCCCTCATCTAGTAGCTGATGGAAACAGAAGCAGACACCAACAGCTAAACACTGAGCTGAACTAGAATTCAGATGCAGAGTGGGAGTACAAGACCAGGCTACAGAAACCCATAGAGACAGCTGACTTGAACAAGGAGGAGCTAATGGGCCCTCAGACTGATAGCTGGAAAACCAGCATTGGACCTACTGAGAACCCCTGAACATGGGTCTTAGTAAGAAGGCCTGGGAAGTCTAAGGGACTTCTGACAGTGGAACCAGGATGTATCCCTGGGGCACAAAAGGACTTTGGGAGCACATTCCTCATGGAGGGATACTCCCTTAACCTAGAGACAGGAGGGATGGCCTAGTTCCTACTCCAAATGACTTGACAGTTTTGTTGATCCCTCCTGGAAGGCACCACCCTCTCTGTGGAGTGGGGGGAGGGATGGGATTGGAGGGTGGTCTCTGTCATGGGAGGGAGGGAGAAAGGGATCGAGAGGGAACTGGGATCGATATGTAAAATAAGAAAATAAATAAATAAAAGAAATACTGAAGTCAAGAAGAAACCAAATTTTTTCAACATAATTATAGAATATACTTCCCCTACCTTCTCTAACCATCTGAAGCACTGAGCAGACACTTTGGAAGAAAGACAGCCATAATATCTGCCACTGTTCTGTATGCAGGAAAGAATTATAGTAGTGTCTCATTTACTTGGATTACAGATTTTTCTGTAGTCTCCTTCCTAATTAGTTTCTATAAAGCAAACATTAGTTTCCCATTAAAATGTGTATTTTTAAAACACACCACACATGCACCAAACCTCTGCAGACGAAATATTAACAAGTTCAGTCCACTGACATTGCAAAAAACTTAAGTATATTTCAATTTTCCTTTTCCTGAGGGCTGAGTTCACTGTCTCTGTAATTATTCTTTTCTCACCACACTCTCCAATTTTTACTCCTTTCTAAGGGTCATAATCAGAGACTTAAGAGCCTAGCATCCTTCCCTTGCTCTTCTGAACTATAATATAAAACTGGCAAGATGACACTCAAAGGTTATAATAGTATAGTAAATAATAGTAAATGTATTAGTTTCTGATTAAATTCACAAACTCTAAATTAAGGACACAATATGTTCTACTCATTTTAAGTATCACTTTGGGTTTCAGGCTCCTAAAAGTGCTTAGCTGATATATATTTTTTCCAACAAAAGAAAAATACACACAAACACATTTTGTGTTTAAGAATAATGAGCTTAAAGCTTTAATGCATATGACCCACAATTAGATATTCTCCTATAAGGTAATCAGAAAAGAATGAAGGGAAAATAATAAAGATGACCCTTTAGTGTTGATACTGCTTTCCAGGTTGTTTGAAACAGGGCCTCTCACTTTGGTTAAAGTACAGACATTTTCTAATCCTTGCCATGATTATCCATTCATCATAATAAGATTTCTCCTTCAGTTTCCAAAGGGCCTCTGGCTTTTATGCTGGAGCAACGGGGTTATAGATACACAGCACTACGCCAACTTTCAGAGCTATCTCCCCAGATCTTTAACCTATATTTTTAAAGATTTACTTATTTATTTTATACAGTGTCTGCCTGCATGAATGCCTGCACATAAGTAGAGGGTAACAGATCTCATTATAGATGATTGTCAGCTACCATGTGGTTGCTGGGAACTGAACTCAAGACCTCTGGAATGGCAGCCAGTGCTCTTAACCTCTGAACCATCTCTCCAACCCCCTTTAACTTATCTTAACTATCATTTAAGTGGAAGTTAGTCTTTACCTTTTGAACAATTTTTTTTTCTATCTCCAACAAGGCCACCTCTATGATAAAACCAACTTTTCTGTCCCACTCAAGAAGCTAACTGAAAAAGTACACACACACACACACACACACACACACACACACACACACAATACCCAGCAAATGTTGACTTTGTATCCTGTGAGTGTCCTCTTCTTGGTGGGTCACCCATCAAGCTTTCAGCTTGCAAGTGTCCTCTCCTATCTCCTGGAGATTGCTGATCAGCACTGCAGCTCGAGGTTCCCAATGGTTTTTGATCTGAATCATTTTGGTCTCCTTTTTGCCCATCAGACAGGCTCCAGGATGTCAAATTTTCTTCACTGTTCTCTGTGGATTTTCGAAAATCAAAATGCAAAGGAGCCTGAGCCACTAACGTAGAAGACAAAGTAGATTGTTCGAAATTTCTCCTCTTGCTGTGAAATGACAGTTCATCATCATCAGAGGGTCGTAAGAATTTAAGCCTCATATTTCCAGAAGATTCTTGCCTTTGTCTTGGAGCAGATTCTCTTCTACCTGTTTGTAAAACCCCAGATCTCTTCCCTGTGTCAGGACAACTAAACTTACAGTCGCTGCTGCTGCTGTTTGCAGTCTCTGTTGCAAAGTGTCTCTCCTCTGAGCCCTTCCTACATTTCACTAAGTCTGAAGTGCCACTTGCTTGACCACTCTGGGCTCTATATGAATATGAAGGCTTCCTCCACCGTTCCCGTCCATAGTCTTCTCTTTTGCATGCAATATTTTCAGCTTCTTTTAATTTTGACTGAAATATTTCCATTGACTATAAAAGAATAATAATATATCTACAATTAAGAAAAGGTCAATGTTTTGTCTCCCACATACCACTGTGTCATGATGCACTGTTAAATGAATCATAAAAAAAATCAACACATAAACAGTACTTTAAAAGCATAATAGATAAAGAAAAACAATACAATCAAAATATTTCAAAAAGGGATGCACTCAGAACAAATGTCCTGTACAACAGAGTGTCACATAGACACCATAGATACAACTTTTAAAAAGTTATAACTAATTCAGGCTGTTAAGATTCGGGAGGGTGCTTTGCTGCTAAAACGATATAGATGCTTGTGAGAAAGAAAAACTGCTTAAAAATAAAATGAGGAGGAAAAAAGGTTCAGGTATATTGAGTGAAACAAATTCTTATAAATCAAATTGACCAAGAAATTTTCTATAGTTTGGGAAACAAAAGTAAGCAGATTCATGTTTAAAGGAAAAGAAAGGAAGGAAGGAAGCAAGGACGGAAGGAAGGAAGGAAGGAAAGAAGAAAGGAAGGAAGGAAGGAAGGAAGAAAGGAAGGAAATCAGATAAGACACAGGACATTTGAGTCTAGAGAACCTCATAACTCTGTTTTAGTACTTCGAAATGAAAAGGATGATGGGGGAAAGCATGAAAAAATAAATAGAGGATTCCACACAACTGATTGTTTGAACAACACTGACTTTAGGATGGTGATAGAAGAAGAAGAACTTGTAGAGTAAGATATCTAATTCTACTCAAAATAAAAATCTTTGCAAAAACTGGGCAGGGAAAGAGTATGCATGTAGGAGTACATTTGTAGACAGGGTGTGCAGTTAGCACATTACCTGAAAAGAAGAATTGCTTAAAATATATGCTGAAGCATAGTCACATTGGCAAAATGCTACAAAATATGAAACTCTGGAGTTGACCAAAATGTCAACAGTGCATATGTACAGAGACTCCCCTGTATTATTTTCATTTTCTTCCAAGACAAAAATGCTACTTTTATATTAAGCATATGTACATTTTAAGTTTTACACACTTACTTGGGTTTTACATTCATCATGCTAATCTTAAAAACATAAAGGCTGGGCTCAAAGATAGCTCAAAGACTAAAGGTACTTGCCACCAACCTGATGACTTCAGTTCAATACCTGGGACCTACATGTAGAAGACAACAACATGACAGGAGAGAACCTACTCCCTTTAGTTGTCCCTTTAACTTCCACATGGGCCCTGTGCATGTGTACATTCCTGAGTATGGGCACACAAATAAATAAATAAATGTAAAAACATTTTAAAACAATATCCTTACATAACAAGAAGCGGGGAAACACTTAAAAGAATGAAGGTAAATGTAACAGTAATTTGATTGAAAACATTTCATTATTCAAGACAAAGACATTTATTTTTCTTCAAACAACTATGAAAACACAAATACTTACCCCATATTTTTCAGCTACAATATCCTCAAAATTTCTGTTTTCTTTTTGAGCTTGTTCTTTCATTCTTTGATAAGACTTTCTTAGCCAGCTTAATCCACCATCCTCTACTCCTGAAGCTAAATTCCAATAATAAGCATCAGTAGTATTTTTTAAGGTGGCTATTATACAATTATTTACTGTTTAAAATTAAATACTTTCCTTGAAAAAGTAAAAGTTAAAAACAATATTTACCAAATATTTAAATACCTATCTATGTAAGCTAAAAGGGTGTGTCAAGATGAAAAATGGAAGAGAAACAAAACTACCTATAAGTAAATACCAATTTAAGAGAACAAGCATAAAATTATATACTACAAGAAAGTTATAGGAAAATCAAAGAAGTTAAGGATTATTTATTTAATGAAACAGGGTCTTACTTTGCAGCCCTAGAGGACCTGGAACTCACTATGTAGATCAGGCTGACCTTGAACTCACATAGATATGCCTGCCTCTGTCTCCTAAATCCTGGGATTAAAAGCATGTATCATTGTGCTCAGCCAAAGCATTATTCTATGGCATTTCCTGACCTTTCAATTGCATTTATTTTAAAATATATAGGTGAATGGCACTCCAAGATATAAGAAATAAATGTGCAGAGGAGAAACACAAATACTAAATAAAAGATAATGTCATTAAGTTAAACCTTTGTTGTGATTTGCAACTATGAACATTTAATGCCTTGAGTTATCTTTGTGTGTGTGTGGGGGGTGTGTTATGTCCTATTTTCAATCTATACAAATAAATTTAATTGATTACTTAAAATTAAAACTCTGTTCCTGATTTTTCCTTGCTCCAATGATGATTGCTTTTAGATCCCTCCAGCTCTAGAGCCAAGAAACACACAGAGGCTCTTGGAGACTGCATAAGAATCTTCATAACAAAACAACCTACCTAAAGCTCAAACATGGAAATGTCTATGACCAGAGAGAGACACAGGGATCATGATCTACACAGCAACAAAGATATAGTTATTTACAACAATATGCAGGAACTTCAAATGTGGACAAAAGAATTAAAAAGGTGAAGTGTACTGCTCATCTTTGGTGCTAGAAAATAGGACAGTGGTTATTCCTCCAATGTCAGTTACTAGAAGGGGACAAATACATTTCTAGGGTGTTCAGACTTGCTTCTCCAACAGTGTGCTTGCTGACTTTCCTTAACAATGTATGACAATCTTCACCCTGTTTCATCTGTAATTTAGGTACTTTTCTATGTATGCAAACTTTGGTAAAAGGTTTAAAAAGTGGAGTAATGGCTCAATGTTTAAGAGCATGTGCTACTCTATCAGATGACCCAGGAGTTCAGTTCCCACTCACATAATTTGGCTCACAATTGTCTATAACTATAGCTCTAGATATGACATATGCATGGGCACCTACATTCACATTTGTGAATTATGCACCAACTCCACATGTGTGCATAATTATAAGAAATAACAGTATTTTTTAAGTTTAAAGACAAAACAAAAGGCAAAACAAGTATTTTAATTATATTCAAATTAATTGTACTGTTTTACTCAAATCTCAACATTTACTAAGCAATTTCTTCTAATAAATGTGGCCTTTAAGGATCTAAAACACTTTGTGATTCAAGCCCAGATTGCTAACGATGCTATTTTTCATTCAAAAGCTTATTTCACATGTCCTTTCTTATTTATACTGTGTAAATGACATATTGTAAACACTCAAGGAATTTAGCCTAAATCTGCAGTCAGCATATTGATAACTGAAAAACCCATAGCAATTTATGTCTTTATAAATGCTGCAGCTACATAATTAGATCACTGAGTACAAAGAAACATTTATGAAACTAATCAAGAAACAAATGGACATCATGAAAATATCTCAACTGTCACTAAGTTATTAGCAGTCCAGAGAGAAATTCAGGAGAACAAAAATACAACAGTTTCTTCTATGATGCTGTCTGTGAAGGAAACCTAACCAGATTAAAAAGCCAACAAATTCAGTCACAACTTGAATCCTAACTTTGGGAATATCTGTGCATCATCAACTTAATAGTCTTATTAGTGCTATCATTAGGAATGAAACAAAAACAGTATTTTTTTTAATATTTAATATTTTTAAGGAGACAGAACCACTCATTTGCAACAGCATCCTCAGATTTAATCAGTAAGTCTTTAATGACTATTTAGCACTCATGAAAATTGTAAACACACTATAATAAGAAAAACACATGAATAAGCATGGTTCTAGCCTTCTGTACTGAAAAAAAGGTCTGTCAATAATTACATTAAATTCAATGGTATACCACACTTAATGAATAACTGTATCCTAACCTTTTTTTTTTTTTTTTTTTGGTAAGTCTAAAATTAGGTTTTAATTTCATGGTTCTAACAAGTTATGCAGTAATAAACAAAACACAACCAAACAAACACTAGGGATCTCTTCCATTTCTCTCAGAAGACAAGTTAATACATAAAAAAAAAAAAAAAAAAAAAAAAAAAAAAAAACAACAACAACAACAAAAAAAAAAACCCAATAAACTGAGCATCAGGAAACGCAGACTTCAGTCTTGTTGCTACTACTAAATATCCAAATCATTTATTTCTTTGAACTTTTGCATCTTCATAAAGCAACTAATTAAAGCCATCCTTAATGGTCCTTTCAATGTAAAAATTCTAACAGAAAAATCCAAAAAGAGAACAGGAGGAAGAATCAACAAGAGCTCACTGAAAAAGCCCATAAACCAGTGTCTACTAAGCACATGAAAAACTAAGTCTTCTCATTGTAAATCTGAGGGCTGGTCCCTTACTACTGACATAACTACAGACAAATCACCTGACCATTCTAAGCCTCAGGCTGAGCTAACTCATTAGTCTCTACCAATTATCATTCTAGAAAGCTCTATTTCAAAGAGAGCTTTGTATGACTACCATTGTTGTTACTTAATCTAGTAGAGACATTTCTGCTCATGATAAAAGCAAAATAAAAATGTGCTGCTGTGGAATAATCCTTATGTACACTGAGAAGATTTTTTACTCAGATAGGCTTAAAAAAAGGCTGGTTGGCCAGGTAGGAAATATAGGTAGGAAAACCAAACTAAAGACATTGGGAAAGAGAAAAGAGTCAGAGGAGTTGCCAGCTAGATGCAGAGGAAGCAGGAGATGAACATGCCATGCTAATGAAGGCAGAGCATAAATAAGGATGATAGGTTAATATAAAATGTAGTTAAAATGTTAGTTAATAAAAAGCCTGAGCTACTGACCAATCATTTATAATTAATATTAAGACTCTGAATGGTTATTTGGTATTGGGAGGTCAGAAGAGGAAAACTCTGCTTACAACACGGAGTCACTAATAACTTAGTAAAATTATAAGTAAGAATTCTAAAGATGTCTTTGAATAGATTTGGTGGCTTAATGCTCACATACAATGAAGAATCTTAAGAAACAGGCATATAGAAATAAATATCAAGAAAATATCCTACTGATAAAAAACTAACATAAAAAGATAACATCATTATTTATAATATTATTTTATTCTGGCTAAACTGTATTTGAAGTTATCACTGAATTGGCAATACAATACACTGAGCACTATGTGATGCTCACATATATTGTCTCCATTAACTGGACAACACTAGCACTCTCCTCCTAAGAACAAGACACAAATTTTATGAATGCTGAAAAATGAGGAATTTCAAGATGCAATAAAATTGCCTCTTTAATATCCACACATTATTTGCATGAATTTTAAACTAAGTTTACTTTTATATCTTGATAGAGAGTTTAACAAACAAATGCAATATAATTTCACATAATCATGCTCTGTCAGCCCATTTAAAATAGAAACTTGAACATGGTGGTTATTATGCATAATATATACTGAATCACCTTACTCCAAAATACATGATAGTAAACTTTCCAAACAATAATGATTTAAATAAGACTTCAAAAGACCACACGTTTCATGAATATTTTGTTATATATAAATTTAAGTCATTCTCTTAGGAACACTAAACTTTTTAAGAATTTGTACGCTTTTTTATTAGTGTACATTAACTGTCCAAAACAGTAGGTGTTATTATGACATTTTCTCACATATATAACGTACTTTAATCATATTTACCCCTTTCATTATTAGAATATGAGAAATGACTATAAGTCTAAAGAAACTATTAAGATACCTTTAGTAACTGCTGGTATACAATTTTCTGATGGGAGACCCGTGCCACCGTCCTTCCAGTATGGATTCAATTCTCTTTCTAGCAATTTGGACTAGAACAACACATTTTGAAAGGTTAGAGTGTAATAGTCAATCCATCATGGAAATGATTACTAAATAGTTTAAGGTGGCTAACTTCTGATATACAAGACCTCAACAAATCACTTAAAATTTTTAACACATGTCATGTAACTTACTGGAAACAATGTCTAACTAATGTTGATGTCTCTTTGTTACACATGCTGTTTTTCAGAACCTTCAAGTCTAACTCAGAGACTTACACAAGACATCCCAAAACTCAGGCAAGATGTTTCAAAAATCTTATCCTTCAATGCTCCACACGGGTAGCAGCTTGATTACAAACCAACATGATTATCATACTTAAATTTACAATTAGACTGGGAGAAAAAACAAAACAACACTGACGACAGAACTCAAAATCACTTGGCCATATTTCTCACTTGTTTTATAAGACATTCAAGGTAAATTATAAGACAATCTCTAAAAGCATTTCTAAACTTTATGGTCTCTAAGGATTTACCATTAATTTCTTGACATCAAAGTGAAATCAATAAAACGAACATGCTTGCTTAATACTTTCTATGGCATTCTAGGCATCTTGAAACCATTCTTATGATTAATTAGTGTACAAACAGAAGGCTTGGTTGATGGTTAAACTGTAATTCATGACAGTCATGTAACAGACAATAATTCCTCAACTATATTTACCTAGATTTATACATCTAGTATGTCTCTTAAAAGACATATTTCAGGTGCCCATGTCTGGGTGTGAATATGTGAACATGTGTACAAGTGCCTGCCCAGGCCAGAAGTATTGGCTCTCCTTAAGCTGGGGTTAGAGACAGTAATGATTCACCCACTGTGTGTTCTAGGAATTGAACATGGGTCCTATGGAAAAGTAGTACATTGTCTTAACCACTAATCCATCTGTCCAGCCTATATCTAGTATACTTCTCAAAAAAAAAAAAAAAATACATATTTATCTTTATTTTATGTGTATGAGTAATTTGTCTGTATGCATGTATGTGTGCTACATGTGTGCAGTGCCCACAGAGGCCAAAGGAGGACAATACAATTCTAGAACTGGAGTTACAGATAGTTGTCAACTGCCATGTGGTTGCTGAAAACCCAATTTGAGTCCTCTAAAAGAGCAGTCAATATTCTTACTGGCTGAACCATCTCTCAAACCCTAGTATACTTTTAATCAGCTTTCCTACCAAAAATTATTTTTTAAAAAATTGCTTTTACATTCTTCAGATATCAATGTTATCAAACACTACTATAAAACATACTTTACAAACAAAAATGATATTACAAGTAAGGCAAATTAAACATTGAAAGTATTCTCTTACCTGCTCTAGTGCTTGGGCTTTTTCCTGCTCTGTTTTCTTTAAAGCTTCCTTTTCAGCTTTGAGTGATGATGAGGACACAGTTTTAACAGACATGAAATCTACAGTCATCCACTCATCCCGCTGTTTAAAAGAATGAAGCCATTTCAATCTGCACTTAAGACCTTCTCAATAGCCGAGCCTGCAGGCACTAGCCAGGAGCAAACACTATGTGGCTAGCCACTGTCATTGAGCTTCTCATTTTTGCTGCACCTTATTTTCTCCCTTGTAAAAGTGGAGTAAAGAACTCACCTTTCAAGTTTGATTTAAGGAGTAAACAAAGTAAGTATATAGGGTCTGGTGCATACAATGAAATGCTAGCTTCTGTGATGGGAGATGTCATTCTGTATATGTTTCTCATACTGGTTAATGAATAAAGCACTGTTGGCCAATAGGAAAGGAAGATAGGAGGGACTAGGAGACAAGGAGGAAATAGGAAGTAGGAAGGAGGAGTCAAGATGGAGAGTCTGGAGAAAGCAGTATGCCGCTGGCTCCCTGGTAAGAGAAATACATAGATCAACAAAAATGGGTTAATAATTAAGGCAGAGCTAGCCGATAAGAAACAAGTAACCGGGCCAACAGTATTGTATCAAATACAGAGTCTCTGTGTATTATTTGGGGCTGGTGGCATGGCAACAGGACAAGACCGGGCGGCGGCAGGCGAAAAACCATACTCTTACACTTCTGTTCACCTTTTTTCCCATGTCTATGGCTAAGTGGGTAAACTATATTCTTTCTTAGGCATATGAACCAGAACTCAAAATGTATTTGCTATTCAACTGTAAGCATTGCTAAGCAAATTGTGACATAATGGGCAAGTTGCAACTGAACTTGCTGCATACAGGAGGTTCAGACTTCTAGTATTAGGTAAATCCAACAAAAGAGGAAATGCCAACAACCATAGCTGAAAGAGCTCTGACGGGCTACAGCACAGATGAGTATCTACCTTCCATATCAGAAGGCCAGTCTGAACACCAGCATTCAGCATTTCTCTGGAGACGCTTCATACACTACTGCTCAAGTATAATTCTCCTAAAGAAGTTTAATACCCATCTGTTCTTAGAAGCCATTTTGCTCTAAATCAGGTGGGTGCTCACCTGCATAACGTGGCTGTCAGATTCTTTTTCTGGCTTTTCGTCTTTCACTTTCCAGGTCTTTTCTTTGCCAAGTGGCTGGGAGGGAATGGCCTCAACCCACTCTTCAGAGCTCTAGAAACATTTAGCATATACATGACATTCACAATTTGCATACTTGTATATAAAATACTGAATTAAATGGAAATAATTCAGCTAGATAGGAGAGATTCTTTCATTGTCTTTCCCCTTCAAAAATAATACTGGAAAATCTCAAGAAATAACGTGAAAACCCTACTTTGGCTTGAGCCCAAAAGAAATAGCCAAATTCATTCTTCCTCTCATGAGTCATATCAAAATAATAAAATGAAAAGCTAGGAAAGAAAGTGATATAGAAATGAATACTTTGCATTGGTATGGATTTCAGTTTATTGATACCAATTTAAGGTCAATTTTGTTATATGTATATTTCTACTCTGATTCAGGTACTGTGTTTATACAGCTCTTTTTACAATGTAATGCATAATTAAATACAGACTATAGCTATCACCTATATAGTCATGTTAATTTTCTATATACAGAGATATATAGGATAGATATTCTTCAAGCCTTTAAAAGGACTAGAGATTATGGAATTTAAAATGATTTACTGGGGTTTTTCATGACAATGAGACACAACACCAATTATGTCAGAGAGGAGGATGGGCATTGAAGAAACTTGATATGGAGTGTGCCTTCAACATGGTAGGAATACCCATTTGGACAAGAAACTGCTTTTGCCTGGACTGCTTGACAACACACTGTCCAAACTGGACAAGCAGGAGAAAAGTGACTGCTGAACTTGCCTAGGGATAGGATGGTCCTTCAAGATTCCTGCCTCATAGAAAAGTCTGCCAGACATTGGGCCTATAGGTTGAAGAGGGATGCTCCAAAGTTATAGAGGAACTTTGGGTGACTGTCCAGGCAGCAAGATGTCTGTCACTTCTAGGGTTGATATTTATCCTTCTGAGGTCTTTGATGTAATTGAAAGCAGATAGTTATGGTTATTGCTTTCATTAGTTATGATAAAAGTTACATATTAAACTTTAGACTCACAAAGACAGATGACAGAATATTTTCTTTAAGTTTTTCCAAATTTTTAGTTTTTGTTTTTCTGAGACAGGGTTTCTCTGTGGCTTTGGAGCCTGTCCTGGAATGAGCTCTTATAGACCAGGCTGGTCTCTAACTCAAGGAGACCCACCTGCCTCTGCCTCCTGAGTGCTGGGACTAAAAGCATGCACCACCACCACCTGGCAAATTTTGCCAAATGTTAATGAATTAAATATTGTTAACTATAGTTCCTATTTGGTAACTGTTTTGTTATATATAATTTTACTATGTTAAAGTTAAACTTTCCTTTTTATTTAGACAGAAAGGGAATGTCTTGTATGCTGTGAACATATGTTTCTCTTATTGGTTGATGAATCAATGTTGATTGGCCAGTAGCTAGGCAGGCAAGATAGGCAGGACTACCAGACTAGGAGAATGCTGAGAAGAGGATGGCAGAGAAGGGCCTTGAGCATTCTCTGGTAAGCCAAGACAGATGGAGATACACAGATTAGTAGAAGTGGGTTAATAATTAAGAGAGGGCTAACCAATAAAAAGCCTGAGCCATTGGCCAAACAGTTTATAATTAATATAAGCCTTGGTGTGTTTATTTGGGTCCAATAAGCTGCAGACCAGGCAGAACAGAAACTCCACAGCAAGGCTCAATTTCTACCAACATCCAAATGAACTCATATGTTTGTCTCAATAGCACCAGAGATATAACCCATGTTAAGGATTTTGCTGTTTGCTCTAAGTGACATATTCGGGGGTTTCCTAGATCTGAAATTGCAAATATCTCTAATAACATCTAGGCTGGTTACCCTGCTCTATCACTTATTACCTTATTCACTTTTAAGTCTCTGACTGACCTTGGCCTCAGAAACCAGCAAGCCCCAGAAAACCTCCTGTTTCTGCTTCCACACAGTACTTGGGGTATAGGTATGTGAAGCCATGCCAGCTTTTTACAAGGGTGCTAGTGACTGAGACTCAGGCCCTCATGCTTACACAGCAAACACTTTTACCAATTCAGCCAAAACCCTCTAAGAAAATGATATTCTTCTATTCCATGAAATTCCTCAAAATTGCCTAAGCATTTAAAACATTTGTGTACTGGTTGATTTTGTGTGACAACTTGACACAAGCTAGAGTCATTAGAGAGGAAGGATCCTCAGTTAATGAAATGCCTTGATGAGATTCAGCTGTTGGGCATTTTCTCATTTAGTGATCATTAAGGGAGGCCCAGCCCATGGTAGGTAGTGTCATTCCTGGGCTGGTGGTCCTGAGTTCTATAAGAAGGTGGGATGAGTGGGACACAGGAAGAAAGCCAGTAAGCAACACCCCTCCATGGCATCTGCATCAGCTTCTGCTTCCAGGATTATGCCCTTTTGCTTTCCTGTCCTGACTTTCTTCAGTGATGAACACAATACTGAAGTGTAAGCCAAATTAACCCTTTCCTCTCTAACTTACTTTTTTGGTCATGATATTTCATCACAGCAATAGAAACCCTAACCAAGACAAATTGGGGTATTGCTGTCACAGATCTGACCATGTTTTGCAGAGTACTGTGGAAGGATTTTGGAACTTTGGGTTAGAAGAACATTGAATATTAAGAGCTCAGTGGGATATTCTTTAGGAAATTGGAAGATAAGAATGTTGAGAGTAGTGCAAAAGATGGAGACCTGGCTTGTGAAACTTCAGAGGGAAGTTCAAGGGCTCTATAACAACCATTTGTCAGTTTGAATTAAGATCCTGTGGTTCTTATTGACTAGGGCTAAAGAATCAGCTGTAATCAACAAGACACCAGAACTACTAAAGCAAAATTTTGCTTTGCTGGAATACTGGATGCTGGTTGGCTGGAGCAAAGACATTAGTGGTGATTAAGAAGAGACCAGCATCAATGAGGTGAAATCTGGGAAGTGAGGAGCACAGCATTTTGGAGATGCCTGTACCGTGGATAACCATGAAGGACATCAGAAGCAATGGAGTGGAGCCGGCCAGAAAACAAAAGGCAGGTGTGTGTGCTACAGAAGGCAGAACTGCAGAAGTGACCCAAGCCCTTATAATTTGTGAACCACTTAGTGGCTTCCTCTCCTTCCCATGTGGCTTATCAGGGTTGGTTGTTCACCTTGCCCTACACATCTGCAACCAACAAAGACCAACAAACGGTATCCCATTTTCTAGAATCAACAATTTACACTGCCAGTATTTCCCAGGGAATTCCAAGTGGATGTCTTATAGATATTTTTTGTCATAACTTGTAATATTTTAAGGTCCTATGCACCATCAGTTCACATACATTATTCCTGAAGAGCACCACTCTCCACAGCTGCAGGACTCACCGAGGAACTGCCTGTCGACTCACTCTGTTTTTCACACTTCTGTTTCTTGCTCTTCTTTTTCTTCTCTTTCTTCACTTTTCTTGAATGCTTGTCCTTTTTCTTCTTTTTCTTCACAGAGTGTTCCTAATGATTTTGAACAAGTATAACCAGAATTTAATCTTATCTAATTTTAACAGGAAGTCATTTTGAGTGAAAAGAAAAATCCATGTTCTTCTATCTTCTATTCCTACCCTGACTCAATCTTCCTAGTCACACTTGCTTTCCTCTCCTCCCCTTCTGAAGACAGGAGAGGAAGAGAGAGAGAGAGACAGAGAGAGAGAATGAACATAAAAGAGGGAGCCATTATTGGTTTGAAGAGAAAACTGAACCTAAAGAAAGGTCTAGAGACCTACGAGACTGCTGCCAACTAACAATTTGAGCAACCATGGAAAGGCTACCATAAATGCTCCTGGATAGTGAGATCAACAACTAACTGATCCACCATCATGGAGCCCTCATCTAGTACCTGTTGGAAACAGAAGCAAACACCCATAACTAAACACTGAGTCGAACTAGAATCCAGATGCAGAGGGAGAGGACAAGACCAGGCTGCAGAAACATATAGAGACAGCTGACCTTAACAAGGAGGAGCTAACGGGACCCAGACTGATAGCTGGGAAGCCAGCATGGGACTGACTCAGACCCCGTGAATATGGGTCTCAGCTAGAAAGACTGAGCAGTCTAAGATACCTCAGACAGTGGAACCTGGTGCACAAAAGGACCTTGCGGACACAACCCCCATGGAGGGATACTCCCTTAACCTAGAGAAAGGAGAGAAGTCCTAGTACCTACTTCAAATGACTTGACAGATTTAACCCACCTGGATGGCATTGCCCTACATGTGGAATTGGGATGGGGTGATGTGAGGGGAGGGTGGTCAGCGTGCATGTGAATGGAGACAAAGGGTAAGAGGAAAAGAGGGAGGGAGGGAGAAAGAGGGAACTGGGATCGACATGTAAAAAAAAAAAAAATACACACAGGTCACACACATATAAAAAAAAGAAAGAAAAATCCATGTTCCAAGAAACTATATCTTTTAACATACTTTCTGTAAGATAAGAACTACTAATCAACATAGTAGCTCAGGTTTTTTACATGAAAAGATATGAGTAAAGTTTTGTTAAATTATTTGTATGAGACAAATATAACAAGCTTAAGTGATAGGCAGTTCAGGACCCAGACCATGGTTGCAAATACATGTTAAACATTTAAAAATTCCTAAAAGAAAAAAAAAAAAAAAAAAAACTCAGATTTTAATACTCCTATCAGAAAAAAAAGTGAGTGTATGAAGGATATAAACCTCGACTAAATCTTTCTATAATGTGTACTTAGATTAAAATATCATAGTGTCAATTAAAAACAAAAGAGATAATAACAACAAAAAACCCTGTACCAACTGTGGGGGCATGTGACAGAATGCAAACTGCAAAAAAAAAAAAAAAAAAACTGTGAAAAGAGAAAAGAAGGCCTGATAAAAACAAACTAATTAAATAAAAAGACATGAATCTTAAAACACGTACTTTCAGATCAAGAAGCTTCCAGAGATTTATAACTAATTCTACCAGCCAATACGATGAAATTGTGGTCAAGATAGACATTTTGTTGCCTGAGGAGACAAATTTCAATAATGCTAAGCCCCTAAAAACAAACATGTAACTGACAACCAGAGTTCAATTCCCAGAATCCATGAGGTAAGGGAGGACTCACTCAGGCAAGTTGTTTGGCCTACATGCATACAGCATCACAGAGAGCAAGAGAGAGACAGACAGAGAGAGAGAGAACGCATAAAAATAAAGAAAAAAGTGTTTATCAACATTAACTGAATCATACTTTAAAAAGAAAAGACATAAGCTAGACATAGTGGCACATGCTCTTAGTACCTTTAATCCCAGCACTTGGTAGACAGAGAAAGGCAGATCTCTGTGCTTTTGAGGCCAGCCTGGGTCTAACTAACAAGTTCCAAACCAGCCAGGGCTACATAAAAATACGAAATCAAGAGAAATAAGTCTTACCATTACATCAAAGACATCTGTTAATATTCACCTGTGAGAACTGTTCAATTCGCTCATTTACATCAGGTAGCATCCATGTGTCCTCACCTCGAAGTTGCTTAAGTTCTTTACGCCTTTGTTCTTTTTCAAAATTATCTTTGGCCTATAACAAAAGGATACAAAAGACAAATTGACAATTGATACAACTGCTTTTCTAATGCAAAAAGAAAACTTGGTAGCACTTTCATGTAAAGGCTCCTAGTTAATAAGTGGTTCATTCTTGACAATAAATTTGCTTCTAATAGTACAGAAAAGATTTTTAAAATCCTAACAGTAGCTTTTCTTTGGGACTACCAACGTCCTGTAAATCTGGGTACAAATCACACACAGTATCCTATCCAGGACTAGCCCATGTCCTCCTTTCTCCTTCTCTCAAAGATGACTTGGAATCACTTCACCTTTCATCATCCCTGTGACTAGTTCTTTAGACTTTTGCAACAGTTATTATGAAGCTGACTTTTTTCCATGCCTTTAATAGGCAATACCTGTACCCCAAATATTTTGTCTCAGAAAAAAAAAAATAACAATCTTCTTAAAAAGAAGTCAAGAGTCAGCAAATGCCAAACAATGCAAAGTGTTCCCAAGAAGTTTCTTCTGCTTCCTCATCCACCTTTCAAATATCAAAGTCAAGTTTAGTCCTACATACAGATCCATATAAAATTCATTATAGCTTACAAAAAGTTTCCTTCCCAAACTGCTGGAAATGCCAGACAGACAATAAGAAGAACAATATTATATCTACTTTGAGATCAATGAATAATCACAATGGTTTATTTTTCCAAGACTAGGTACTCACTCATTCCTGTAAAATTTCTTCCTGTCTTTCCTACTCTTTATTTGCATTTAAACTTATTAAAAACTCTTTCCCTTTAAAACAAGCTCCCCCAAACTGTTACCAAACAATGTTGTTCTTCAACTACTAATTTCTCCTTTGTGCTGTCACAATGAGGAAAAACTCACCATATAATTTAATAGTTTACTTGTTCCATTTTTATAAATTCTATACATTTCAATGTTAATGAGAATTCTGTTTCACAAACTTTTGGGGGAGACACATACTCTGAGTCTCTTAGGTTAAACAGTGTTTCACTCAGTAAAGACTGGAATTGAAAGGAACAGTAAGACAGATGGTGGAGGAATGCCCATTGTATTTAAATGTGTTTTAATTCCAATAAGCTGAGGAAATGACTTGACAAAACTGTTGTCGTCAGAGGTGGTACAGTACATAGAAACTGAGCAATCCGCACTCGCACCACAAGGACATTCACTCAACTATGTTCATGGAAGCATTATTTGTAATAGACAGAACCTGGAATCAACCTAGATGATCCTCAAACAAAGAATGGATAAGGCAAATGTGGTACATTTAGAAATTGGAGTACTACTCAAAGTTAAAAAATAACAACAAAAAAATGACATCTTGAAATTTGGATGGATGGATGGAACTAGAGAAAAATCATCCTGAGTGAGGTAACCCAGACCCAGAAAAACAAACAAACATATATATACACATATATATATATTTATTCATTCATATGTGGGTATTAATTAGACTTAAAGCAAAGGGATAACTAGCCTACAAGCCACAACCCCAGAGAACCTAAAAGATCCTGAGAGACAAGCATAGATCTGCCTAGAAAAGGGACATAGACAAGATCTAAGTAAATTGGGAGAGTAGGGGGCAGGCGAAGAGTGGAAGGGGAGAGGGAGGAAGGGAAGGAGAAACGTATTGCTAAATGAAAAAAAAAAAAAAAGAAAGAAAGAAAGAAAGAAAGAAAGAAAGAAAAAGAAACAGAAAAAGAAAAAGAAAGAAACCTAGCAATCCAGGCAGCAGAAATGTCAATAGACGCCGTAAAAGCTAAGGAACCCAATCACATCTCTCTGCAAAGAGAATGAGCACATGAGCCGGACAGAGCATTTAGGAGACACTGCGTTGGAAAAACAGACCGCAGACTGACAAGGCGAGTTGTCGACGTGAGGAGAGGCATAGGTGGGCTACCTCCCAGGAATGTCAAGCCCTACAATTCTCAACAACTTCCCGAGATGTATCTGAGATTAAAAAACGAAAGCATTTCAAGAAGGAAAGATAGATTCTCTGGGAAAGTGCTGGCCTTGAATGCAGGAAGCTCTCAGTGCAAGCCCCTGTTTTAAAAGGAAGAAAGAAAACCCTCCAAAGCGGAGGTACCTGGCGTAACACTTCCGCCCTGGCAATTCGGGTCTGTTCTTTTCGCTCTTCGATACTCCTAGCGCTTTCAAATCTTCCACCGAGCGCCGCCATAGCTATAGCTGTCGTAAAGCTAGGAAGCCGTCAGAAAAATCTCAGCTTACGACTGTCGTAAAGCAGGAACCAAATCCAGCTTTCCAAGTAGTAGTAAAGGGACGTTACTATGCCAACGGAGCAGGCGCAGATATGAAAGTCTGTGGAGCTTGAACGTCCGCTGCATTGCTGATATTTTAGGTATGCTGCATTCGCTAAACGCTGAGTTAATAATCAGCATGCCTAATTATGCACCCTGCACTATACTAGCTCCCGTCTTACCAAGACTCTAATAATACTGCAGTAAACTAGAGAGTTCTAGAAGTTAAATCCAGATGTCTACGTTCTTGCCTGACTTCCTGTGGTGGTGCTGCAATAGGCTAAAGAGAAGTTAATCAGAAAGTAAGGAGAACATAGAGAAAAGGGGGAAAAATGCTTAAAATTCAAAAATTGTTTTTGTTGATAGGTGTCTTTAAATATATTGAAAACGGAGTTGGAGAGATGAGTGAGTGGTTTGAGGTGCTAATTGCTCTTGGAAAGGACCTAAGTTCAGATCCAGAATGCACATGGAGGTTCACAACCATCTGTGGCTATGTTTCCAGGGGATCCAATGCCCTTTTCTGGCTTCCACGGGCCCTTCACCTCCTTGGTATACTTACATAAAGGCAAACATATATATATATATATATATATATATATATATATATGTATGTATGTATGTATGTATGTATGTATTATGTATACACACATATATATGCATATATACATACATACATACATACATACATACATATAGTGAGAGTTAGTGTTGCACAAGCCTGAGTGCAGGAAAAGTTTTTGGGTGTGAGATGCATTGAGTGTAAGATTATCTCTCATAGAAAACTGAACCTAGAGAAATGTCCAGAGACCTACAAGACTGACCCCTACTAACAATTTGAGCAACAGTGGAAAGGCTACCATAAATGCCCTTCCTTGATAATGGGATCAACGTCTAACTTATCCACCATCATCGAGCCCTCATCTAGTAGCTGATGGAAACAGAAGCAGACACCCACAGCTAAACACTGAGCCAAACTAGAATCCAGATGCATAGGGGAAGGACAAGACCAGGCTACAGAAACACAAAGACAGATGACCTGAACAAGGAGGAGGTAATGGGCCCCCAGACTGATTTCTGGGAATCCAGAAATCTGACTTAGACCCCCTGGACATGGGTCCCAGCTAGAAGGCCTAGGAAGTCTAAGGGACCTCAGACAGTGGAATCAGGATATATCCCTGGTGCACAAAATGACTTTGGGAGCACATTCCTCATGGAGGGACACTCCCTTAACCTAGAGACAGGAGAGAAGGCCTAGTCCCTACTTCAAATGACTTGACAGATTTAGATGACCCCTCCTGAAGGGCATCACCCTACATGTGGAGTGGTGGGGTGGGTGGGAGGGTGGATGAGGGGCATGAGAGAGTGGGAGAGAGGGAAAAAGGGAGGGAGGGAGAGGGAACTGGGATCAATAGGTAAAATAAAATAAAAAGAAAAAATTATTATCTCTCATAAAGAAAACAGGGACCTCCTTGTGTTTATTGCATCTTGCTTAAATAAGTTTCTGTAACAAAATACCAATCCTTATTGTTGGAAACCAGCTGTCTGCTGACTCCGCCCCCGATGATGGGCAGGATAAACATGGCCATGTCACTCATTATGGAGCTGCATAGGAACTCAATTTCCTTTTTAAAGCAACCATGCCCCCCTCTTTCTCTTCCTCTCCTCTCCCTCTCTCCTGCTTTTGTTTGGCCACCAGCTACCTCCCCCTTTCACCCCTCTCCACCAATAAACTCCACGTGGGCGCACTGAGTCTCATGTTTGTGTTTCATTGGTGCTAACTGTGGCAAAAGAACAACACTTATCTGTGTTAACAGGGATGGTAATAGGAAAAATGAGATAAGCTATTTATCTTCCCTTTTACCTCTGGCAACTCAGCACAATTTGAAATGCCAAACTTCAATAGCTACACCCCCATAACTTCCACCCCCAAAGTGCTATTGTTTGATTTGATTCATTGTTTGGAAGGCTGCACCCTGCACAGATGAACCTGTTCATCAGAACTGAGCGTAACCAGGCAGTACAGACATGACTGGAAGAGCTGCTGCACCTGCTTACCTAATACCAAAGGCAGCCAGAAGTGCATACCATGAAATACCACTAACCAGTCTGGTGGTTTTCAGTAACCTGACGTCTCTGTTATCAGAACTGCTGTGAAAGTTCATTTTGTTGTTAAGCAATGCCCATGAGCCTTTGTATTGAAGAGAAAATGAAAATGTCAGGAAACTAAAAGCTAAATTTTGATATTTTCTCTCCTTACCTTCCCTGTTCTGTATCCCAGCATGATGATGACAGAGCAGGCTGATATTGATACAGCTAAGGTAGTGTAAGGATGGAAAAATACAGCCCAACTCTCCAATGACCCCAGGAAGCTAGAAGTTTAGAAATACTATCTAAAAAGCCCTAAAAACCTCAAATTTCAGACCCTGTCCTCTGCTAGTAAATAGGAAAGGTCACATTTCTTGCTGTTTATGACAGACAGGCCCTTGAATTTGTAATCTTGGCCTAGTAAGATAACAGAAAATGAGCTAACTAACCACTTATCTGACTTCGTAAACTGCTTGTGAAACCCCTGCCCCAGTGACCCATGTGTGGGCTTTGTTGTAAGCCCTATAAAAACTGTCTCAGTTCTGCCCTTGTGGTCCTCAGTCCTATGACTGTGGACCCCAGTACACTTGGAATGAAAATTCCTTATGCTGTTTGCATCGAGACCGCATCTCATGAGTGATTTGGGATGTTGCCTTTCCTGCGTGGGAGCGTGAAGGTCCATGCTCTGTGGGTCTTTCAGTAGAGCTGCTGACCATGACAAGCTGCCTGCATCTCCATTCATCCCACATGCTTTACCCTGTTCCAACTGCATAAAGAGAAACACTGGTATTGCCTAAGCCTGTTAGGCCTTGAGAGGTCCTTATTAAGGACAGTCTAGGCTCAGACATGTTGAAATCTTGCCTTCTGGTCATTCCTAGATATGAGCCATGTATATGGGCCAATCTATAGCTCTATTTCATTGCCTTTTCTGCGTTAGATTCCCTCCCTCTCTTACTCTTCTCCTCTTTCTCCATCCCCTTCCTTCCATTGCTGGGCCTCAGTCACAAGGGCCTCCTAGCTTTCATTCACACATAAGACAGTTGTATGTTATTCACATCCCAGGTTAAACAAACATCCCTTTCACTAATCATAAAATCTAATGTTCCCATCTTCACAATATTCCCAAGATATTTTCACATCATGGTTTAATGTATTATAGCTCTCTATCTCTACCTGAAGTCTTGACTGTTTCCTGGACAACCCCTTGAATTTACATAAATAAATATAAGCATATATCTGCATAAATTATAATTTTAAAACAGTCCCTTTCATATAATAGTTCTTAAATGAACTACAAAGTTAACCATATAGAATCTGTACTTTACAAAAAAAAAAACATAGTCTGTGGATGAAGAGATGGCTCAGTAGTTACAAGGAAATGTTCATGTTGAGTCCCATGTTGGGTTTCCAACACCTACATAGCAGGCCACAACCATCTGTAACTCCATTTCCAGGGGATTAGATGCCCTCTTCTGATCTCTGTGGGCACTGCTTGCATGCATTATACTAAGTAGAGTTAAAATATTCACACACTTAAAAGAAAAATAAATCAATCAACAAGTTTTTAGTAGATTCTTAATCCTTACCAATGAAAACAATTATTTTTTTTTGAGAGGTTAAATTCTATCATCAAATGTAAGACAACTGTCAGACATAAGATTATCCACAATATTGTACATAAAGGTACATGTGTGTGAAAACAATCCTATACAATAACATGAATAAGTTAACATGTAAGGGATATAGGGACATTCTGTTTCACCAGGAAAGAGACAGATGGGGGGAGGGGGATTTGAGGCTGAAACAGGTCCTGTGAGGATGATCATATTACCTAGCTCACATAAAGCATTCTAATTTATATTTGTTTCCTTGATGGTTATCAACAACCTCTTATTTAGTTTTTCAAAGGTTCATAGTTTATGTAGATCATAAGTCATATGACCATGCTAATATTAATTCTATGTTCATTCCTTTTCAACATATACTTGGTTGTCTAGAGCCAAGAAAGAGCACGCTAACACTTCTGACGATAGTTGTAGCCAAGAACAGAGATTCCAGGCACTAATTCTGTGATAATTTCTGGGGTATTGGTAATATGTTCAGTGCACAATTGCTAAAGTCAGATTTGCTAGGTTTAAAACTCTGCCACTTTGTCATGTCAGTTTTACACAAACTGCTTCTTTTGGTTTCTTAACTGTAAAGTAGTAGCATCATACGCCTCTAATTTCTGTGAGAATTGAATGAGTTAAATATGTGGAATTTCCAAACTAAGTGCTAAGTGTAAATCAAGGGCAATAATTTTCAGACTTTTACTGTCTCCTAGTCAGTGGCCTGAAGTCCTATGTCCTAGTCACCTTGTTCAGCTTGATTCAGCCTAGAGTCATCTTAGAGGAAAGTCTTCACTGATGGATTATCTAGGTCAGATTGGTCAGTGGGAAAGAAATGGAGAGAACTTCCTTGGTGGTTAAGTGATGTAAAGGGGACCCAGCCTGCTATGGATGCCTCCATTCTTTGTCTGGGTGGTTTTGGACTATGTAACAAGGATAAGCACGTGAGCAAAGGAACAAAGACCCAATATTCGTCCACGTTTTCTGCTTCAAGTTCCTGCCCTGATTTACCTCAATAATGGATTGTGACCTGGAAATACAAACCAGATAAATCCTTTCCTCCCCTAAATTGATTTTAGTCTTTGTCACAGCACTAGACTGAAACTAGAACAGCACATTAAACTACCTTTTGTCTCTGTTTATGGCATGAGTGCCTTCGATATTCATTGCATTCTTGTTAGAAGTCATGAATGAAAGCAGGTTGGTGGTGGCACATAACTTTATCCCACCATGTGGGAGGCAGAGGCAGGAGGATCTCT